GCTCCACAATTTCTGTGAGAGTAAGGGGGAGACCTTTATGGCGGGGTGGGAGGCTGAAGCAAATCGCCTGGCCGCTGATTATGCGCAGCCAGACCCCAGGGCGATTAGAAGATCACACCAGGAAGCGCTGCGCATCAGAGAAGCTTTGAAAACCAGTTTCATGACTGGACAGGCTACGGTGTGAAAGTTCTGTTTCTTGAAAACCCGCCCCCTTGATTGACTCATTCCCTGTAAGCAAACCACCCTCCCCCCTTCGTTCACAGCATGCTTTCAAAGGAAATAAAGTCACTATCATTTAAAAATCATGTATTCTTTATTAATTGATTATAAACATAGGGAGAGAACCGACAAGGTAGCCTGGGTGGGGTTTGGGAGGAGGATAGGAGGGAAGGAAAAGGCCACTTCAAAAGTTCAAAGTAATGACAGCCTTTTGCTTGGGCTGTCCACTGGGGTGGAGTGGGAGGGTGCACAGAGCCTCCCCCCCCCCCCCACGTTCTTACACGTCTGGGTGAGGAGGCTACGGAACATGGGGAGGGTGGTTATACAGGGGCTGTAGCAGCACTCTGTGATCCTGCTGCCGTTCCTGAAGCTCCACCAGACACTGGGCATGTCCATTTGATCACACAGCAGCCCCAGCGTTGCAGCCTGCCACCTCTCATCTCTAGCATCCCTCCTCTCATCTTGAGCGTCCCTCATGGCCTCACATTCACTGGCATCTTTCCTGTACTTTGATACCGTGTCCTTCCACTCATTCAGATGAGCTCTTTCATTGCGGGTGGATTCCATGATTTCAGAGAACATTTCATCTCGTGTCCTTTTTTTCCGCCGCCTTATCTGAGATAGCCTTCGGGATGAAGGAGGGAGGCTTGAAAAATTTGCAGCTGCGGGAGGGAGGGAAAAAAAGTAGAGAAGTATTTAAAAAGATACATTTTACAGAACAATGCTTATACTCTTTCACGGTGAACAAAACTATTCACATTACATAGCACATGTGATTTCGGTACAAGGTCACATTTTGCATCTTAATATTGAGTGCCTGTGGCTTTGGTGTTAGAGAGCACAGACACAGGTCCAGGCAACAGAATTCGGCTTGCATGCGGCCATGGTAAGCCATTGTCTTTCGGCTTCTGTAGCCATCAGAAAAGCAGCGCCCTCCTTTCCCAAATACCAAGCAAAGCCCGTTGAGTGCTGCGGTTTTCCTGTTAATATGCAGCAGCAGAAACCAAACTAACCTCCCCCCCCCCATCCAATTCTCTGGGATGATCGCTTTATCTCTCCCCCCACCGCGTGGCTGGTATAAGGGAAGATTCCTGCAGAAACCAAACCAATCCCTCCCCCACCCCAAATCCAAGTTTCTGGGATAATCGCTTTACCCCTCCCCCCACCACGTGGCTGGTATAAGGGAAGATTCCTGCAGAAACCAAACCAACCCCTCCCCCACCCCAAATCCAAGTTTCTGGGATAATCGCTTTACCCCTCCCCCCACCGCGTGGCTGGTATCAGGGAAGATCCCTGCTAGCCAAACACAAAAAGCTCAGCGCCAATGATCTCTTCCCCCCCCGCCCGGCTAACTGCAGGGAAGGATTTCTTTTCAGCCACAGGCGAACAGCCACCTCTGTCCCCTTAATTAAATTCCCGTATTTCAACCAGGTTACCATGAACGATATCACTCTCCTGAGGATAACACAGCGAGATAAAGAACGGATGTTGCTTGAATGCCAGCAAACACTGGGACCATACGCTGCCAGGCTTTGTCATGCAATGATACCAGATTACTTGCTACTAGCATGGCATGGTCAAGTGTCCTACCATGGAGGATGGAATAAGACTGCACTGCCCAGAAACCTTCTTGCAAAAGCTTTTGGAGTACCTCCAGGAGAGCTTCATGGAGATGTCCCTGGAGGATTTCCACTCCATCCCCAGACACGTTAACAGACTTTTCCAGTAGCTGTACTGGCCGCAAATGCATCCCAAGTCCTCAGGGCAAATTAATCATTAACAAACACTTGCTTTTAAACCATGTTTTATATTTACAAAGGTACACTCACTGGAGGTCCCTTCCATGGCCTCATTGCCTGGGGGTTGGGAGGGTACTTCAGTCAGGCTGAGAAAAAGATCCTGGCTGTTGGGGAGAACGGAGTGCTGTGTGCTCTCCGCAAGCTCGTCGTCATCCTCCTCCTCATCTTCCCCGTCTGCAGAATCCTCAGGCATGGCTGAGATTACCCCCCGCCTCGGAATCCACGGTCAGAGGTGGGGTAGTGGTGGCGGCCCCCCCTAGAATTGCATGCAGCTCAGCGTAGAAGCGGCATGTCTGCGGCTCTGCCACGGACCTTCCATTTGCTTCTTTGGTTTTCTGGTAGGCTTGTCTGAGCTCCTTAACTTTCACGCGGCACTGTAGTGAATCCCTATTGTGGCCTCTCTCCATCATGCCCTTGGAGATTTTTTCAAATGTTCTGGCATTTTGTCTTTTGGAACGTAGTTCTGCTAGCACGGAATCGTCTCCCCATACAGTGATCAGATCCAATACCTCCCGTACGGTCCATGCTGGTGCTCTTTTTCGATTCTCGGACTGCATGGTTACCTGTGCTGATGAGCTCTGCGTGGTCACCTGTGCTCTCCACGCTGGCCAAACAGAAAATGTAATTCAAAAGTTCACAGGGCTTTTCCTGTCTACCTGGCCAGTGCATCCGAGTTCAGATTGCTGTCCAGAGCGGTCACAATGGTGCACTGTGGGATAGCTTCTGGAGGCCAATACCGTCAAATTGCAGCCACACTAACCCTAATTCGAAATGGCAATGTCAATTTCGGCGCTACTCCCCTCGTCGGGGAGGAGTACAGAAATCGATTTTAAGAGCCCTTTATTTCGATGTAAATGGCTTCGTTGTGTGGATGGGTGCAGGGTTAATTCGATTTAATGCTGCTAAATTTGAATTAAACTCATAGTGTAGACCAGGCCTTAGTGTAAAAATGTAATAAGAAAAGCCAAAGAGGAGTTTGAAGAACGGCTAGCCAAAAATTCAAAAGGTAATAACAAAATGTTTTTTAAGTACATCAGAAGCAGGAAGCCTGCTAAACAACCAGTGGGGTCCCTGGATGATCGAGATACAACAGGAGCGCTTAAAGACGATAAAGTCATTGCGGAGAAACTAAACAAATTCTTTGCTTCAGTCTTCACGGCTGAGGATGTTAGGGAGATTCCCAAACCTGAGCCGGCTTTTGTAGGTGACAAATCTGAGGAACTGTCACAGATTGAAGTGTCACTAGAGGAGGTTTTGGAATTAATTGATAAACTTAACATTAACAAGTCACCGGGACCGGATGGCATTCACCCAAGAGTTCTGAAAGAACTCAAATGTGAAGTTGCGGATCTATTAACTAAGGTTTGTAACCTGTCCTTTAAAATCGGCTTCTGTACCCAATGACTGGAAGATAGCTAATGTAACGCCAATATTTAAAAAGGGCTCTAGAGATGATCCCGGCAATTACAGACCAGTAAGTCTAACGTCGGTACCAGGCAAATTAGTCGAAAGAATAGTAAAGAATAAAATTGTCAGACACCTAGAAGAACATAAATTGTTGGGCAAAAGTTAACATGGTTTCTGTAAAGGGAAATCGTGTCTTACTAATCTATTAGAGTTCTTTGAAGGGGTCAACAAACATGTGGACAAGGGGGATCCAGTGGACATAGTGTACTTAGATTTCCAGAAAGCCTTTGACAAGGTCCCTCACCAAAGGCTCTTACGTAAATTAAGTTGTCATGGGATAAAAGGGAAGGTCCTTTCATGGATCAAGAACTGGTTAAAAGATAGGGAACAAAGGGTAGGAATAAATGGTAAATTCTGAGAATGGAGAGGGGTAACTAGTGGTGTTCCCCAAGGGTCAGTCCTAGGACCAATCCTATTCAACTTATTCATAAATGATCTGAAGAAAGGGGTAAAAAGTGAGGTGGCAAAGTTTGCAGCTGATACTAAACTGCTCAAGATACTTAAGACCAATGCAGATTGTGAAGAACTTCAAAAAGATCTCAAAAACTAAGTGGGCAACAAAATGACAAATTAAATTTAATGTGGATAAATGTAAAGTAATGCATATTGGAAAAAATAACCCCAACTATACATACAATATGATGGGGGGCTAATTTAGCTACAAAAATTAGGAAAAAGATCTTGGAGTCATCGTGGATAGTTCTCTGAAGACGTCCACGCAGTGTGCAGAGGCCGTCAAAAAAGCAAACAGGATGTTAGGAATCATTAAAAAGGGGATAGAGAATAAGACGGAGAATATATTATTGCCCTTATATAAATCCATGGTACGCCCACATCTTGAATACTGAGTACAGATGTGGTCTCCTCATCTCAAAAAAGATATACTGGCACTAGAAAAGGTTCAGAGAAGGGCAACTAACATGATTAGGGGTTTGGAACAGGTCCCATATGAGGAGAGATTAAAGAGGCTAGGACTTTTCAGCTTGGAAAAGAGGAGACTAAGGAGGGATATGATAGAGGTATATAAAATCATGAGTGATGTGGAGAAAGTAGATAAGGAAAAGTTATTTACTTATTCACATAATACAAGAACTAGGGGCCACCAAATGAAATTAATGGGCAGCAGGTTTAAAACAAATAAAAGGAAGTTCTTCTTCACACAGCGCACAGTCAACTTGTGGAACTCCTTGCCTGAGGAGGTGTTGAAGGCTAGGACTATAACAGCATTTAAAAGAGAACTGGATAAATTCATGGAGGTTAAGTCCATTAATGGCTATTAGCCAGGATGGGTAAGGAATGGTGTCCCTAGCCTCTGTTTGTCAGAGGGTGGAGATGGATGGCAGGAGAGAGAGATCACTTGATCATTACCTGTTAGGTTCACTCCCTCTGGGGCACCTGGCATTGGCCACTGTCGGTAGACAGGATACTGGGCTAGATGGACCTTTGGTCTAACCCAGTACAGCCGTTCTTATGTTCTTACTGAACATTGGAGAAGCCACACGGGTGAACGCCCCTAGATAGTCCAAGCATGTATGGGGATATTCTCCTGTGTGTGTTCTCTGATGCGTAATATGGTTTGCTCTCTTAATGTAACTTTTTCCACAATCCAAGCATTTATGTTTCCTGTCTCTTGTGCATTGTCTGATGTTGCGTAAGGTCCAATCTCTGGATGAAACTTTCCCCACATTCCAAGCAGGTGTGGGATCTGTCTCTTGTGTGAGTTCCCTGATGTCTGGTAAGGTTTGACTTCCAAATGAAACATTTCCCACAATCAAAGCATTTATAAGGTCTCTCACCAGTGTGGATTTTCCCATGTTTACGAAGGTTTGAGTTGTTATTGAAACTTTTCCCACAGTTCAAGCATTTGTAGGGTCTCTCTCCCGTGTGGGTTCTGTGATGCTTAGCGAGGTCTGAGGTGCTACTGAAGCTTTTCCCACAGTCCAAACATTTATGGGGTTTCTCTCCTGTATGGATCTTCAGATGTGTAATAAATGATGACTGCCAATTGAAACATTTCCCACAGTCGAGGCATTTATAGGTTCTCTCTCCGGTGTGGATTTGCTGATGTGAAGTAAGATAAGAACTCTGGCTGAAGCATTTCCCACAGTCCAAACATTTAAAGGGTTTCTCTCCTGTATGGATTCTCTGATGTGCAACAAGGGTTGATCTCTGTGTGAACGTTTTCCCACAGTCCAAGCACTTATGGGGTTTCTCTCTTGTGTGCGTTTTCTGATGTCTAATAAGGTCAGATCTGTGCATGAAACTTTTCCCACAGTCCGAGCATTTATGGGGCTTCTCTCCTGTATGGGTTCTCTGATGTGTAATAAGGCTTGACTTCCAATTGAAACACTTCCCACACTCAAGGCATTTATAGGGTCTGAATCCCGTGTGGATTCTCTGATGTATTGCGAGGTATGAGCATCTACTGAAGCTTTTCCCACACTCCGAGCATTTATGGAGTTTCTCTCCTGTGTGGACTGTCTGATGCCTAACAAGCGTTGACTTCTGATTGAAACATTTCCCACAATCAAGACATTTATAGGGTCTCTCTCCGGTGTGGTTTCTCCAATGAGAAATAAGGTTTGTACTCATATGAGATCTATTCTCAATATTGGGGCATTTATAGGGTTTTTCTTCCTTGTGACTTGTCTGCTGGACTGTGGTTTCCTTGGGATCCTTGCATCCAGCCCCACAATCAATGGATTCATCCATTTTTGTCACTTTTCCCAGCTGTTTTTCTGACCTGCCCCGATTTCCCCAGGCTTCTCCCTGTTCCAAGCACTGGGAAAAATTCCCTTCAGCTCTTCTTAAAAAGGTCCCCCATGGTTCCACTTCCCTGGGAACTTCCTGCTGTTGATTGTCCTCCTCATTCACACTCACTCTCTCACCACCTGCTGGGAGAGAGAATCCAGACAGGAGTCACTGCCTGTGCCGGGGAGAAAGGGGAATAGCAAAAACGGAAAACTCAACACAATAAAGGTGGGGAGATGGAGAAATTGGATTCTCTCTCCACATCCCCATGCAAACACTCACTGGGAAGTAAAATCAGGAAGGAAACTCCTGACAGCTAACAAGGTGGGTGGGAGACAGTGTGTGATATCTGACTACAGCCTGACCTGGGGGCGATGAGGAAGACCTCACAGCACATTTTTGGGAGTCTGAGCTTTTTCCTTCAGATGGTTTTCGTGTCAGTCTCACTGACTCCTCACCTGTGCGGGTACCTCTCGGGTTCTCCCTTTCCTCAGTGGCCTGGAGATCCGGGACCCACAGCTCTTCCCCTCGTTCCAGCCGGGCGATCAGGTCCGGTTTGGGAATGGGGAATCCTGCACAGGGGGTGAAATCAGGCAAGGTTGGGGCGCATCAGATATTGGAGGAATATTTGTCACAAAGAACATTCCTGAGTTTAACCGGACCCCATGCTGTGCTGGGGGGACGTGGGATCTGAAGGAAGGGGGAGCATGGTCCCTGAGCTCCCTTGGGAGAGGCAAATATCTGGGGAATGGGGGTGGAGGTGATGGTTGTCAAGCCATCCCTAGGGCTTTCCAGGATCTGGTGGGACTTGCTGAGGCAGACTCAGCTCAGGAGTTAAACCCCTGCATATTGCGAAATCTCCAGAGCTCTCCCCAGGGCTGGAGCTAGTCCCAGGAAGGGAGGGGCACTGGGATTCTGTGTGAGAGTGAGAGTTAAACCAGACAGGACAATACAGTGCTTCTGCCCCCTTGAAAATCGGAGGGATGGGGATGAATCAGCATGTGCATTAGGTTTATGACTCCCCGATCCCATTGGAGGGGGTATGCAGATGAAAGTCTCTCTCCCACACTGGAGCTGGGGACTACGTGACCATGGAAAAAACAGATTCAGAAATGCAGACCCCGCGGCTTCCAATAACCGAGGGGACAAGTATCGCTTACCCAATGAGGTCACCGTCTCATAGTTCTCCTGCATGACGTCCCTGTAGAGGGCTCTCTGACCGGGATCCAGCAGAGCTCCCTGCGCCTGGGTGAAATACACAGCCACCTCCTCGAAGGTCACCGGCATCTGAAACAACAAGAGTCCCCCACTCAGCACCTGCTGCCCCAGCCACTATCTCAGTGTTCATGGGGGAGAAAGATCAATAAAATGGAAGCTCTGGGAGGGCCAGAGGAGCAGAATCCCACCCCCACCCTGCTCAGAGCAGCCAGGAGGCTTCAGGGGGTGGGGAGGTGAGAGCTCCTTGTCCTCCCCAGCAGACGGAGGTGGGCAGGGTCTTCTCATTTCCCACATGCCTGCCAGCCACAGGCTGATATGGGAAGCAGAGCTCTGAGCCGGGGACAGGGACAGGAATCCCAAGAGCTTCCCTTTGTATTTCACAGCAGCTTCCGGCCAGTGGGTTCAGGCTCTAGCACTGGGAGTCTGGTCAGTTTTCCCAGCCCTGCCCAGGGGGGTGTTTCCTGTATCAGAAATGGGGGAATGTTCACCCCTCCTCCAACCCACCAATGGGCCTTTTCAGAAAATCAGGCTCCAAGTTGAACGTGTCCCAGCAGGTTTATCACACCCTGTCCCATCCCTGCCTCACCCTGTGTGTTTCCTGCCCCTCCCCCTCTACAGCAAACCCCACTCTGCCCCAAAGCTCCCTGAAAATCTCCTACCTGAGCTGGCTCCATCACAGGCATTTCCCTTCCCTGTCTCCTGGAGACGGGACGATCTGGAGCGAAACGCGGACGTGATTCCTCAGCCTGTGAGGGCGAGAGGGGCGATGGGGGAGGTTTCAGAAGGGGCTTGAGTCCATTTCACACCCCGATTCCCCCCAGGCTCTTTCCCTGCAGACAGACGCTCTGGACTCTGCCATTCTGGGAAAACCCTCAGTCACTTTATTACAACACAGACCCGGCCCCTCCCAGCACTGAACCCCTGAGACACTTTTAA